CAGGCTCTCTTTCCCCAGAGAGCCTGCTCGCAGGCTATACATTGATATATACATATGGCTGTGTTACCACAATAATGCTCACAACTTCAACTTCTTTCTAACAATATAGTTTTGCAGTTCTGACTGTTCTGAGTCTGATCTTATTCATTCAGAAATATAAGCATTGCACTGTATTCAATGGCAAGCTATCCTGGATACCAGAGCCTTCAGTTAATAATAAATTGAAATATTGTGAAGGCTCTTGTTCAACGGGAGGATTCTTTGATTAAACTGTGCCAATCGCAAAACAGAATTAGCAGTTTAGTACAGATTTTGGGCGTGTTAACCCATTAAGCGCCAGCGCTCTCCCCTTGACGAGTAAAATCGTCTGGCGTTAGACAGAGTAAAATACTCTGGTGTTAGACAGAGTAAAATACTAAAGTAGGGTGCGTCAGGGTGCAATGCGACCCAATGGGTTAACTAGACACATGGGCAGACAGATCAGTTAACCGATTAAGCGCCAGCACTCTCCCCTTGACGAGTAAAATCGTCTGCCGTTAGACAGAGTAAAATACTGTTCAAAGTAGGGTGCATCAGGGTGCAATGCGATTCAGTGAGTTAATATATAGTACACAACAGAGGTCATAGACATACAGTTTCAATACAATACAAAATGATTTTGAACAACGTCAAGGTCAATGAAATCATACAAAATGAATTTATGAAATATCAATTAAATGTATTTAAAACAAACATAATTTCAACATCCCAATAAGGAGGGCCCTGAAGGGGTAAAATGGGAACTGGGATTGATCTATTTTTAGACTGGGAAAATGGGATTTGGGTTGCTGGGACTGGGATTTGGCCACTGGGAATGGGAAATGAAGTCCTCAAAAATGGGAATGGGATCGAGGTAATGTGAGTCGATTCCCAATTTTTCTGCGTTTTGAGTATTTTAAAATACAATTTTGATCTGTTTTTGGTGTCTTTGGTCATGACTTTTGTTGTTAACTATATTATTCACAGCATCACCTGTGAACAGGCATACTCTGGCACCCGGAATTCTGGGTTTTCTGATTATGTGTGTCTCAGAATGCTGCAAATGCCATTTCCAGGATTCAAATTGAAAAATTTTCAGTGCCTTCGGCACGAGCCCCCCCCCTAATATTTCATAAAGTGTTCGCCACTTGCTTAAAAGGTCTTAAAAACTGTTTATTCTACCGATAAATAATGGGCTTTTTATAGACTGGGATTTCAATAACTGGGACTGGGAATTCTAATAAAAATCCAACCGGGACTGGGATTTTGCCAAAACTTCAGGTGGGAAATGGGATTGGGACCCCCCCTTCAGGACTCTCAATAAGCAATAACATCCCAGTAAGTATAAATTCAACTATTTTAAATCAATTGTTTGAATAGCCAAATTAAAAGTTGTACGAGTAACAAAATCATTCAATAATATTCACATTTTATCATTTACTGTATATTATGTGTCAACTATCAAAGTCGCACTGTTAAGTATATTAAAATATACTTTTCATAAGATTAGATGTAAGATATAATTGTACGAAGGTAACTGAGGAACGACGATGTGTAAGACAATAAATCATACATACAGTGAAAAACGCTCTTTTAGTAGCACATCCTACATGTACATATCGGCAGCATTTTCCTTGCGATAGTAACTTCTAGTTATAATTATATTGGCTATCAAACGAAAAACATACGTGAGGTTTAATATGAGCGAGATTTGCAAGTTTTGCAACTCTCATCTATTAAATTTTCCAGACCTGTATATAAAATAAACAGTAAAACAATAATTACATCGTACATACCATACAATCTTTGTTGTTGCTTGTTTGCAGAACACTTGACAAATTATCAGGTAAAAGACTTAAAACCACGATGTAGTGCGCGGTGTGCCATTTGTTTAATATCATTTTGTTTAGTATTTTTTAAAAATAATTTAGAATTCCGACCATTTATATGCGATGTACTTCATGTAAATTAAACTTTACGGCATTACGCCGACAGTTTCCGAATGCGTGACAATACTGTTTCAAACTGTTTCTGGATATAGATATCAAACATAATTTTATAAAACATGTTTGTTGAAACAGTTTAAATAAAATGCAAGCTAAATAAAGAAGTGTTGACAAGATACAAAACAAGACAATTTCACTTACAAGGGTGACAAGGTAATTTATAGGAATATAGCTTATTGTAACTGTATAAATATATTGTGCGTTTCCACTCCCTGTGGCTGTGGTTCTTTTGGAAATCAAATATCGATTATATTTTGCAATTAATAATATTAAAGTTTAGCCTAAGACATGTGTAGTTTAGTTATAGGTTGGTATTTTGCAATTATGTACCGTACATGCCCCTTAAGTAGAGTATATTTATTAACTGTTTACAATATTTGTGGTATATAATGTAGCCATGAATGCATGACCACATGACCCCACAAGATGAACTCCAATGGCTTCTAAATAAGACAATAGATGAAAAGTTCACGAATATTGAGTTTATATATGATTCGGGTTAAATACAATAATTATTAACCTAGCTTTATATAAAATGTACATACATGTTCTAATAATTGTATTTTGCTTCGTACAATGCATATGTGTGTGAAAACATTACATTATTCAGCTCACTCCCCTTTGGGGCTTTTCAGTCACCGCTTACATCAAGTATTAGGGTTACTTATGTTATTCTAGACTATTGATCTTTATAACAATGAGAATACGATATCACTTTTCTAACTGTGTTTATTCTAACCCACCCTGCCGTATTTTGCCTTGTGGGAGGAAACCGGAGCAAAATATAAAATTCAATTACCTTGAAAACACAGGTCTAAATTGCAATCCCTAAAATTTAGAATTTCCTCTTAAATCGCTTAAAATCGCATTAAATCGCAGTGCTTGAAAGTCCCAGTTTTTCCTTAAATCGCCTAAAATCGCCCAAAATCGCATTATATCGCAGCGATTTAAGGCGATTTACCGCCCCAGAGTAGGCCTCCCTTTTTACGACAATCGACAGCCTATAGTCCCACAACAAAGAAAGCACTAGTCCGGTTACAATCAAAGCGTTCAATGGCACCCCAATGGACCGGGGTTTTTTCAATTTCCCACGAAACCGCTAATGGAAACCCCTTTATGCCTTCCCTACACCTTCCAAGTTCCCCACTATTGCAGGGCACGGTATGCAGAAACACTGGTGTAATCCCTGTCGTTAGCGCTAATACTCACAAGATCCCTGTGAGAATTACTAACAACCGTGCAAAAACCGTCGTAAACCACATTAATTAATAATCATAGACAACTGAAATTAGTCAGTACTTCAATACATGACCAGGCCATGAACCGAAATAACATGTCAAGATTACCGAGTTTTCTCGCTCACTGTTACCCAAAATACACGAGCTATCCTTCTTACTATCAATACATTCTATAGAGTTTATTGCTGTAACTGAAACGTGGCTCAAAGATACTGTTCCTGAGCAACTAATTTACATAAATAATTACAACATTTTTTGCAATGATAGATCTTACAGCCATGGTGGGGGTGTCTGCGCTTTCATATCGACAAATATCCCAGCTAAAAGAAGAATGGACCTTGAAAACCCTTCTCATGAAAGCTTATGGTTATGGCTGCGACCACACCGCTTCCCAAGACACTTAACTGGTTTAATCTGCTGTGTCCTATATAACCCGCCTGATACACCAGTCAATGAGCAAAGATGTACCCACCCCGACTGCGGTGTTCTCTTACTCGGTGATTTCAACAATTTAGATATCAGCGATCTCCAGTGCCATCACAATCTTACGCAAATATTGGACACCCCAACGCGTGAAGGTAACATCTTGGATCTAATTGTTACTAATCTAGAAGCCTTGTATTCTAAGCCTGTGATTATAGCACCGCCCGGCTCATCAGATCGCAACATTGTTAAATGGTCCGCGAAAACTAACGTTTTAAGAACAGATAATAAAACAATTAAGAAAAACATACGTTCCTTCCCCACGTCGGCACGTACAGCTTTTGGAAGATGGTGCTACTCACGTGAGTGGTTCTCTGATGCCGAAAGCAAAATCTCTGCGACCGCTCTAGCGTCCTCCTTTACCAGCGAGTTAAATTCTGCTGTTGATAGGTTATTCCTGTCTAAGGTTATTAGAATTCATAACTCTGACAAACCATGGATGACGCCTGCATTAGAAAAACTGATTTATCAAAGGCAAAAAGCCTATCATTCTGGTAACCTTGACCTCTGGCGTCACTATAGACTTAAAGTTCGAAACGACATAGGAGTGAAAAAGCGTGCATATTATACGAACAAGGTACAACACCTAAAATCCAGTGACTCCAGAAAATGGTGGGACTGTGTTAACCAGATATCCGGGAAAAAAAGATCTGCAACCAATAACATTAAGATCGTTAAGAATGGTACCACTCTATCTGGTAAAGCTCTCGCCCAATCACTTAACACCTATTTCTTAAGCGTGAGTAATGACCTACCACCACTGAATCCTCTCCTGCTGCCTTTCTCCCTGCACCTAGGCCTGTACCAAAAATTTTCCATGACGAAGTTTGCACTAAGATGCTCAATACAAAAGTTTTCAAATCCAGCGGTCCTGACAGTATTCCTAACCGGATTATTAAGGATTTCGCGTACGAATTGGCCGAACCTGTATGTCACATCTCTAATACATCTCTGTCCACTGGTGAATTCCCTAACATATGGAAAGATGCGTTAATTACACCAATTCCTAAAGCGCCATCCGTATCCTGTAAGGAGGAGTTGCGCACAATCTCCCTTACAGCCTCTTGTCCAAAATTCTTGAGGACTTTGTGGTCAATTGGATGGTGGATGACGTGAAACATAAAATCAACCCGCAACAATTTGGTTGCCTTAAAGGAACCTCTACAACGTTTTGCTTGATCGATATGATCAACAATTGGCTAAGAACATTGGATGATAAATCGAGCTATCTGCGGATCGTTTTCCTCGATTTTAGTAAAGCCTTCGACCGCGTCGACCATAATATCCTGGTCCCAAAGTTGCTGGCCCTTGGCGTCAGATTGTCGCTTATTCCATGGATACGCAGCTTTCTCTCAAATCGCCGTCAATCGGTAAAGATCGACAATTTCCAATCTGATTGGGGCATCAATAACACAGGTGTCCCTCAAGGAACTAAGTTGGGCCCTATTTTGTTCATAATTATGATCAACGATCTTGAACTGGCATCCTCTAGCACTGACAACTGGAAATATGTGGATGACGTAACAATATCGGAGTCCTTAAAGAAAAATGAAGTTTCAGTCCTACAATCTGATCTTAACACAATTGAAAGATGGACTGTTAATAACAACATGAAATTGAATGGAAAGAAATGTAAAGAAATGATAGTGAGTTTCGTCCGTAGCGAGAATGACATGCCCCGACTCCTCATTGATGGTTTACCTCTAGACTTAGTTTCTTCTTTCAAAATTTTGGGTTTAACCATGAACAATAAATTGAAATGGCAAGATAACACTGAAGCGTTAGTTAAAAAAGCCTCAAAACGCTTATACATTATTCGTGTCCTGCAGCGCTGTGGTCTTCCCCCCAATAACCTCTTATTAGTCTACTTTTCTATGGTGCGCTCTATCATAGAATATGCCTGTCCTGTCTGGCACACCATGTTACCGAAGTGTTTGGGGGATAAAATTGAAAAAGTTCAAAAAAGAGCTTTCCGTATTATTTATCTGACAACAGATTACGAAGATGCTCTCAACATCGCTAAATGCAAGCGCCTAGACGACAGACGTCAAGAGCTATGTGCTAAAACTTTCAAAAAGATCTTAAAACCCGATGCTCACCTCAACCACCTCTTACCCCCACTCCGTGAAGAATCGCATGAAGTGGACTTAAGAAACAATTCTAACTTCACATTAACTAAATGCAGAACGGAACGTTTTAAAACTAGTTTTATACCAGCAATGACTGCTAATTTTAATAGTAAATAATTTGTAGTATTTAACAGCTGTACATATACGATATATCTATATTTATATTATTTGATATTCATCCTTTATTATCTTTCTGTAAGCATATTGCAATTCACCTTCGGGTGCCAAAATGTGTTTCTTAATAAACCTTTAATAATAATAATAATAATAATAATAATGGAAACTTTTTATTAGATATTTACGATATACTATATATACATTGATAAACCTCACTTAATAAAAGGTAGCTTATCGATGTCCACTTGAATTGAATTTAAAGCTAAAATGTATATACAAGTGAAAATCTTTTAAATTTAGTTAAAAGTTTAAAAGTTCTGGGTTGTTCCAGTCTTTGTTTCGTCTGCAGAATATATAATAAGACGTGCGAATACAAGTAGCGATTATTTTCTTTTTTACATATTTAATACATTGTTCGTCGTACTTCAGATCATGGAGCATATCAAATAAAGTATTCGTCGATTCACCAAATACACCTAAAGAGCTTATAGATACATTAACAAACTTAACTTCATCATATATTTTCTTGATCGGTAATTAGAGTCAAATATTTTTCATGTTTTCGATCTGAGTTAGTTTTCAGGTTTGTTTCGAATCCAACAGTTAATTCAAGAATGTACAAAATCTTATTTTCAATTGTCAATAGAAGGTCTGGTCGTAACTCGTCACCAGTGATGACAGATGGGCTAATAAATCCAGGCAGATCTACATACATTTTGGATCTTCCGACGTCGAGAAGGCTGGACGCAATGAGATTCAAAACTGAATCATGTCGCCATGTATATCTCCCTTCGTTTAGATATGTCTTACATCCAGAGATTACGTGCAAAAGCGATTCAGGGCAGAAGCAGAACGAACAATCCGCAGATGATGACAGACCCCATTTAACTAGGTTTTTCCTAGTAGGCAAAGAATTGTTGATGTAACGTAGACTGAAGTTAAATATGTTCTTAGGAAGTTTTGAATGAACCGATGACCATAGGGAATTGAATGCCAACGTGGAGTTTTTCACGATGTTTGAGAAAAAAGAACCTTGTGACATTAGGTTATTTTGTAGTCGCTGTTCGTTTTTTCGTCTAAATGCCTTCAATACATCTTTTGTGTTTGAGTAAATGTCGTACTGAATGTTCCTATTGGTGCTTGTTATTGACCATAATTCACGTATGTTTTCATTTATCGATGACTTTAAAGCTAAGCGTGAGACAGTTTGGCACTGTATAAACTTCGTTGAAGGTAGAATGACATTTAAACCAAATTGTTGTAAGGGAGATAGACATTGCTTAGAGTTGCAGATATTGGCAGTTCGAGCCATTTTCGTATATATTTAGTAGCAATACCGTCCAAAGTCTCGCAAACCCATGTTTGAGATATATCAGTTACTGTGAAGTCCCATGAGATTTTCGAGAGCAAGTAGCGACTATATAGCAGGATTTTATTTCGGGGGTGCAAATGTAATTCATCTATTTTAGACATGATATTATTAAACAAGTCACATATATCCGATTGGTGTTTTTCATCTGACATGTTGAAATTAAAATAACGACCAAGGTAGCGGAAAGATTCACCAGTTTCGGTACGGGGTACAAGTAGGTGGCTAATAAACAATTTAGGTTGATATTGAACAGATTTAGATGAGTGTTTTTTAATACCGAACGTAGAGCACTTGTCAACACGTATAATCATATTGGCCCATTGACACCATATACCGAGAAGCGATTGAGTAGGATTTGATTTTCTTTTTCTTGGCTACTAATGACAGCCGCGTCGTCTGCAAACTGGAACCAATGAATTGGATTACACGGAATACCAGTTTTATTAAACTTCCAAAAACCAAGCTGCAGGAATGATTCAGATTTAATGTGTTGTACGAAGGTATTAAAGGACATATTGAAAAAGGAATGGACTAAGGCAGTCACCTTGTAAAACGCCACGGCCGACGGTAATGAAAGGGGTACTGATTTTTTCAGTTATGATAGATGTCTGGAAGTTAGTATAAAGACTCCGGATTAGTTCATTTATAGGATCAGGTATATGATGATATTGAAGAACTTTGTAAATAAGGTTGTGATGTAGTTCACCGAATGCATTCTTCAGATCGAGTGAAGTGATTACAAGTGACCTTTGTTTTATACGGGCTGTGTTGATTATGTGCGCCATATGGGCTGTATGTTCAACAGTTCCTACAACGTTTGGGGTAAAACCTTTCTGGATGTCATGTTCTATGTAATTGTTTTCAGATAGGAAAGCGAAAATGTTGTTACGAAGACACGACGTAAAAACTTTGAGCGGAACAGATTCTAGAGTTATTGGTCTTAAGTTAGCGGGATTGTCAGTTTCGTCTTTTTTGTGAATCAATATCGTGCACGCTTTTTTCCATTCTGATGGAACAATACCAGGGGCCGATTGTATAAAAAAGTGATTAAAGTTAACTATAGTTAGTGGAAACGTCATCCAATAAAAAGCGCGTATTTGAGAGTTAATCACTATTTAACTACAAAATAGTGATTAAAAAAGTGATTAAGAGTTTTATACAACGGCCCCTGGTTATTTCAGCAGCGAACGAAAAAGAGTTAACTACTTTTTAACTGCAGTTAGCGCTAACTACGTTTTTATACAACCGGCCCCTGATGACCAGGCAGCATGGATAATTTCAGTTAAATAAGTACGTAGATATGGGCAGCGTTTAAGACAGATAACAGATATTTGGTCGAGAGGGCACGGTGAGCCAGACGGTTTCATCTTTCGAATGACATTTGTAATCTCATTATAGGTCTAGTCTAGCACCTGTATATGAGTTTGTATGCATTTCATTTAGGACACATAATCTCAACTGTTTTAGGGTAAGTTGACCATGACGGTCAACATGGTAACGCTGCCCGAACCCCAATCCGGGGCGAAATGTCCGAAACTGACCACACCCAAAAACGACGCTTTCGCCATACTGCTATCTACCAAACCATAAAAGCTTTGGCTATTCTGAGGTGCTTATATGGTTCAGAGATGGTACTTTTGGGGTGGTCATTGGTAAGTGTGAAATGCCTAGCACTAATATTTCACAAGAAAATGACCATGCAATAATCATAGTTAAACGTCAATTTGTGGCTTGCAAATTCAGATAAACAGCAGTGGACTTACATTACCTTTTTCCCTAAATCTTTTTGATAGAAACATAAATGGTACTTATTTAAATATATTATCACTGGTTTGGTGTGAAATAGTTAATATTTTCTGACCGAAATAATAATTTGAAATGTGCCTACCTCCTGCAAATGGACGTATTTGGCCAAGTTCTCCACTTTACTCCGCTGTTTATCGGCGATCTCGTCGACAGCCTACAAAAAATGTAAATCATCTCAGACATAATGGTATCAAGAACATTTTAAACAAGTTTCAACTTGGTTTCAAGTAGATAATACCTGTTTAACCATCGACAAGGTAAATCCACAACTTTGTCCAAATTCGGCGCCATTTTGTCATCCCATGTCGCTTGTTAACAATTCAGCCTTATTACTCTTCCATCCAAGCCATTTCCATTCCACTAACAATAAATTTAACCCTTTATAACAGGAGGAAACTAAAAAATCTAAACAAAATATAAGAAATACGCCATTTTATCACCATGTAAAATTTTGCTCACGAGTCTTTCAAAACATTCCGTACAAATCTCGCGTGGTTTAGCAACAGGGACGTGACAGGGGGGGTAGAGACTTGAAAAATGAAAGGAAAGCCCACACAGTATGGTAAAACCAACAATCAACATTTAATTTGTATGACTTTTTCATATTAATAAATAATAATATGTATATATTTGTCGCTACAAGAAATAAAACAAACATTTGTATGATTGTATTTAGCTTTTAGTCTATTTCACGCAGCCTTCTTCTATCTTCGTGAAATAATTCACCCCCTCCTGTCACGTCCCTGTTACTTTGTCACGCGATATTTGTACGGAATGTTTTGAAAGACTCGTGAGCAAAATTTTACATGGTGATAAAATGGCGTATTTCTTATATTTTGTTTAGATTTTTTAGTTTCCTCCTGTTATAAAGGGTTAAATTTATTATTAGTGGAATGGAAATGGCTTGGATGGAAGAGTAACAAGGCTGAATTGTTAACAAGCGACATGGGATGACAAAATGGCGCCGAATTTGGACAAAGTTGTGGATTTACCTTGTCGATGGTTAAACAGGTATGATCTACTTGAAACCAAGTTGAAACTTGTTTAAAATGTTCTTGATACCATTATGTCTGAGATGATTTACATTTTTTGTAGGATGTCGACGAGATCGCCGATAAACAGCGGAGTAAAGTGGAGAACTTGGCCAAATACGTCCATTTGCAGGAGGTAGGCACATTTCAAATTATTATTTCGGTCAGAAAATATTAACTATTTTACACCA